AGAGGGTATTTATTTTCCACACTCACAGCGTTGAGACCTTTATAGTTTATGCAGAGACGAAGAGACCCATCTTTTTTTTCTTTGAACAACACAGGGGCTCCCACAGTGGATTTGGCCCGTTCAATGAACCCCCTCGCTAGGTTTTTTTTCACGTATCGCTGCATCTCCTCCATTTCGAGGGGGGACATAGCGTACATTCTCGGGGGTGGGAGTTTGGCTCCTGGCACCAGTTCGATAAAGCAGTCATTGGGTCTGTGAGGAGGTAGGGCATTGCATTCTTTTTCACTAAATGCCTCCGCTAGGTCCCGGTATTCGTTGGGAATGAGTGGTTCGCCTGGCGGTGGTGAGACAGCCATGTGCGCTCGCTCATTGGGTGGCCTAAGGTGTCCCGCAATGTCGGTTGAATCAGCGGGAGGTTTAGGCCCAATAGGTAGTCTCACAGTTCTCATTACTTTCTCCCACCAGATAAACGGCTTCCATTTGTCCAACCAGGCTAGCCCTAGGATCACAGTCTCAGTCATTTTTGGAGCCACTAGGAAACGAATAAACTCCCAGTGCTCACCTATTTCTAGGCACAGGGGCTCAGTTAATTCCGTGACAAGAGTCCCTCCCATCAGGGAGCCATCGGCTTGCTCAAACCTCACAGGTTTGGAGAGCTGTTTTGCCCGTATGCCCATTTTCATGGCAAACAGCAGACTAATAATGCAGCGGGTGCATCCAGAATCAATTAGCACTTTAAGTCCATTTGTGCCCCAGACCTAGGAATTATAAGTTTGGCCGCCAGTGAAAAAGGCAGGATTTGTCAACTCACCATCGGGTCATTCTCTCCTTCATCGTCGCTGTCAAAGGAGGGTAGAACAGGGGCGGGTCCCCCCGGAGTCCCGGCGTCCTCCTGTGTGGGGGGTGTAATCTAGGCAACAGGTTCTTGCGTGACCCGGTTGGATTTTTCTCTCGTTAGCCGCTGGGCAGGTGTCCGTCTTGTTGCTGGTTCCGGTCTGCTCTGCAGTCGGGGATAGGAGACTGGACAGTTTGCTGCTCGATGTCCCTCTTGTCCGCACCGAAAACACTTAATTGACAGGCCTGCAGGTGGCCTGGGTCTCTCAGCCATTGCAGTAGTTGGAGGTTTTCGTGGGGGTGATTGCTGTCCGGGTTGCTCTGGCGGCTGCTCGGATTCAGGTGGGGGAGGCTTCTTATAGCGGGCGAGTTGAACGTCTAGTTTCACTGCATGCCCTGGTACCATCGGACCTGGCTATCTCCGAGACCGCCTTCTGCCACAGATCACCTCTCACCGACCGATACGCTCCCACAGAGAGGGTCTCCTCAGGGTGCCGTCAACCAGACAGTGCCGGTTGGCGACCCCCAGGGGGAGAGCCTTCTCTGTTGGAGCTCCCACCCTCTGGAACGAGCTGCCCCCAGAGATCCGGGTGATTCCGGATNTGGCCTAGGGATATTTTATTATTGGATTTTTAATCAACTTTTAAAAATAAGAATGGCCTATTTAAATATATTTTTTAATTTGTTTTAATTTTGTATATTGTATCAATTGTTCTGTTTTTAATTGGCTGTAAGCCGCCCTGAGTCCACCAGGAGAAGGGCGGGATATAAATGCAATAAACTTAAACTTAAACTTAAACTACCTGTCGTGATTCCGTGCCAGCCTGTGTTCCCAACAGCTGAGTCTGAGGAATCTGAGGAGGAGGTGGAGGAGGCATTTGAAGGGCCATCAGGGTCAGAGGGAGGCTCTGATGAATTACAAGACTCACGGTTTGATGAAGAGCCTGGGCCCTCCAGTCGTGTTCCTGATGAAGCTCAGCTGTGTGGGGAGAATGAGTCAGACTTGGAGGACTCACACCTGATGGACATGATGATTGATGCTCGTACACGCCAGCAATTAGCAAGAGCAGATCAGCAGCAGTCAATACGACAACTCCAGGGGAGGAGAAGGCACTGAGAGGCAACGCCTTGGGACTGCTGTATAAAAAGGGAAGGTGTGGGCGGTGCTGGTTGCTGAAGGCAACCGTTGCAAAGTACTTCATGGGATAATGTTCTGTTAGTATTGCCGGTGACTACTTTTCTGTTTGCATCGTGTTTCATGTGGACAATTTCCTCCATTTGGATTGTGTTTTGCTGCTTTTGTTTCTGGACTATTTGGCAGGTTGGTTACCCATATTAAAAGGGGTTTGTTTTGTTTTGAGTCTCCAGCCTATTTTCTCAACAGGGGTTTGGTCCTTGTGCCTTTAACAAGGACGGCTATAGGCTGGGATAGAACAGTACCATTCTTGCAGCTGATCAGGTACTGCTCGAAAGATGCAGGCCTGAGAGAGGTGATCGTCTAATCCAACGGTTCTCAACCTGTGGGTCGCGACCCTTTTGGGGGTCGAACGACGCTTTCACAGGGGTCGCCTAAGACCATCGGAAAAGGGGCGTTGTCTTACCTGAACACCTTTTCTCAGCAGGATGGTGTAGAGTCCACAGATTGGGTTAATTCAGCCTTCCTGCTCAGACTAAGACAAAAAAAACTTTGCCACGCCTCTGGGTGTGTCTTCCCAGTTTTTAGGACTTGTCGAGGCAAAGAATCCAGACGCAAGGCTCCAAATAATTTTTTTTTTTAAAAAAACTCATGCCTAGACTAAAGAGAAACAGGGGGGGATGTGGACTCTACACCATCCTGCTGAGAAAAGGCGTTCAGGTAAGACAACGCCCCTTTCTCCAGCAGGATGGGTGTAGAGTCCACAGATTGGGACATACCAAAGCCGCCCATGTCCCTGAAGGGAGGGAAGTCTAGGCTTCTGTCTCTTGAGAAGCAACAACTTGCTGCAGAACCCGTCTCCCAAAAGCTGCATCTGCAGCAGCAAACCTATCAATCCTATAATGTTTAATGAAGGAAGAGGGGGACGACCAAGTCGCCGCCCTGCAAATCTCTTCAAGCGAGGCCTGGGTAGACCAGGCTGCAGAGACCGCAGCGCTGCGCGTAGAGTGGGCCATGATCTGAGAAGGGACTGGAAGGGACTGCAAAACATACGCCCTCGTGATACAGGCCCAAATCCACCGTCCGATGGTGGAAGAAGAAACCTTCCTCCCCATCGTAGAAGGATGGAAAGAGATGAATAAGGCCTCCGATTTCCGGAAGGCCGAGGTCCGCTTAAGATAGTGACGCAGAGCCCTGCGCACGTCCAAGGTGTGCCACCCTCTCTCCAGACGATGGGAAGGGTTTGGACAGAAGTTGGGGAGTACCAGGTCCTGAGATCGATGAAACCCTGTATTAACCTTAGGAATAAATGCAGGATCCAACCTGAGGACCACCCTGTCCTTGTGGAATATGCAGAGATCCTTCCTAACAGATAGAGCGGCTAGCTCTGAAATCCTCCTGGCCGACATAATGGCCACTAAAAAGGCGACCTTCAAGGTGAGGAAGTGTAGGGAACACGAACCGAGCAGTTCAAATGGAGGAGAAGTTAACGCTTGTAGTACCTTGGGCAAATCCCAGGACAGGTAACGATGGATCGTAGGAGGGCCTGTGTTAACAGCGCCCTTAAGGAAAGCACCAACCACTGGGTGGTGAGACAGGGAATCATGGTTCTCGCAAGTGAGAACCGTCGATAACGCCGCTACCTGCCTGCGTATGGTGCCAACTGACAGGCCCCTATTTAGCCCCTCAAGCAAATACTCTAATATATCTGGGATAGTGACAGATAGCGGCGAGCGATGCTGTTGCCTGCACCAGGAGCAGAAATTTCTCCAAGTGGCATCGTAGATCCTGTTGGTTGATGGGCGCCTCGAGGCCTGGATAACTGAGATTACCCCAGGGGAATATGCTAGCCTAGTTAGACCTTCCCGCTCAAGTGCCAAGCGGCTAGTTGGAGCCACTGCGGATCCGGATGTTGGAGGTTCCCCTGACAGAGAGCTACTCGGTCCGGAGGGATTCTCCACGGTGGTGAGAGCGACAGGTCCACCAGATCTGCAAACCACGGCCGACGCGGCCAAAATGGAGCAATTAAGATTAGCTCCGCTCGCTCTTGTAAGAGCTTGTGAATAATCGCTTGGAGCAGTGGGAGAGGAGGAAAGGCATAGAGCACGCCCTTGGGCCATACGCTCCGGAGGGCGTCCGTCCCTTCCGCTCGCTCTGACTGGAATCTGGAAAAAAACCTGGGGATCTGTGCATTGGCCGGGGAGGCAAAGAGATCTAGGACTGGTTGGCCGAACCTGTGGGCTGCCTCCCTGAATAAGAGTGGATCCAGTTTCCACTCTGAATGATCTACGGTGGCCCTGCTCAGGGAGTCCGCCTGCCGATTGTCCTCCCCCGAAATGTGTTCCGCTCTTATGGATTTCAGAGTGGACTCCGCCCAACGTCCCAACGCCATGGCTTCCTGCATGAGGGACCAAGAGTGGGTCCCTCCCTGCTTGTTTATGTGAGCCTTGGCCGTAATGTTGTCCGTCAGGATCAGCACATGCTTCCCCGTCACGAGGGGTGAGAACTCCCGGAGGGCCAGGTGAATGGCCCTGAGCTCCAGCCAATTGATGTTGTGGGCCAGGTCTGACCTGGACCACCGACCCTGTGCCAAGTGATTGTGAAGATGTGCCCCCCAAGCGAACAGACTGGCGTCTGTGGTCAGGGTGATCCTGATCGGTTCCTTGAAAAGAGTGCCCTTGGATAGGGCGGATGAAGTCCACCAAAGTGAAGCCAGTGTGAGGTGTGGAACCCTGACCTTCGTTTTGGAGGCACTGATGTTGCGTCTCTGAAAGGGGAGGAGGAACCATTGGAGGCTCCTGGAGTGGAGCCTGGCCCACGGAACGATGCCCAGGCAAGAGACCATCTTCCCCAGGAGTTGGGAAAGTCGCACCAGAGACACCCATTTTTCCCTGCGGACCTGCCGGGCCAGCATCCAAATGCTGACCTGGCGCTCTGAGGAGAGATAGACTTTGCAGAGATTTGAGTCTATCAGCGCTCCTAGATGGATAAGCCGTCTTGTGGGAGTTGTGTGACTCTTCTTGAAATTTACGGAAAAACCGTGGTCCTGAAGAGTCCGGATTGTGATTTCCAGGTCTGACTGGGCTGAGTGAAAGGATCTGGACTGCACGAGTATGTCGTCCAGATAACACTGTACGCGCACGGGCCTCATCCTTAGATGAGCCGCCAGCACGGCCAAGATCTTTGTGAAGACCCTGGGAGCCGACGAGAGGCCGAAGGGGAGGGCCCGATACTGGTAATGCCGGTGTGTGTAGGCGAACCGCAGAAACCTGCGGTGTTCCTGGAGGATCGGAATGTGAAGGTAGGCCTCCGTCAGGTCGCTGGAGGAGAGGAAGTCCCCTTTCCTGATGCTTGCCAGGATGGACTTCAGGGTCTGCATTTTGAACTTCCTGTAAGTTAGGAAGTGATTTAGACCCTTCAGATCCAGTATCGCCCTCCATCCCCCTGAGGCCTTGGGGACCACAAACAGGATGGAATAAAACCCGGTTCCTATCTGGTCTGGAGGAACCCTTTCTATGGCCCTGATGTCTGATAAGTGGGCGATTGCTGTCGACACTAGACGAGCCTTTGAGGAATTGTTTGAAACCGGACACTGTATGAAACGATCTGGGGGTAAAGATTGAAACTCTAGTGAGAGACCGTGTCTTATGGTCTCCCTGACCCAGGCGTCCGTGGTTGTGCCCTCCCAGATGTCGTAAAACAGAGCCAGATGACCCCCAATGGGGCAACCCCCCTTGGTGTCACTTGGACCGCCTGAATGGCCAGCCGCCTGAGCCCCTGAAGGGATGCTTGTTCTGGTACTGGCCCCTGGCTCCACCACCCTGGCGGTCCTGTTGGCGATCCTGCCTAGAAAGATAGGATCGTGAGCCTCTGGGCCAATCCCAGGACTGCCCTGCCCGAAAGGGCTGCCTCCACTCCCAAGAGTCACCGGAGTGAAAAGATGACCTACGGTAACCTAGTTGGGGTCGCCTATCCAACTTCTTGGATGGGTGAGCCAAGATTTTGCGCTTGTCCTTGCCCTCAATGACATGAGGGTCAAGCACAGCGCCGAATAAGTGCGTTCCACTATACCTGGAAGTTGACAGGCGCCACTTTGCCTTTAGGTCCGTGCGCCACTGTTTCAACCAGAGAAGCCTGCGTGACGCCACTGTGGCAGCAACTGACCGGGCCGAGCATCTGGCCAAATGCAGAGAAACATCCGCAATGTACTCTGAAGCTGCTATAATCTTGCCTAGAGTTTGGTGTGCTCTGACCTGATCTGGTGGAATGAGAGCCTGAAGATCCTGCAGCCACATGATCGCTGAACAAGCGAAGGAGGATGAGGTGGCCGCCCTTATTGCCCAAGCCGAAGATTGGTGAGCCCTGCGGCACGAGAACTCAAACCTTTTATCCTCTGCCTTTAAAAACTCAGCCATGTCCCCGGGAACAGCGGTGTTGGAGAACAAAGAAGCCAAAGGGGCATCCACAGTTGGGACTTCTAAAAGAGATGCAAAGGAAGAGGAAATGTTATAGAGCTTTTTATCCAGACTACTTGGAGAAGGAGTGGAAGCTAGGGACGACCACTGCTTTTCCACTGTGGTCCTGAAAACCGATGGAAATGGGATCTGATGTTCCTCCCTGACCTTTTCTGCAAACAGAGGGTTGGTCTCTTGGTTCGAGGAGGTAGATGGTGTCTCCTCGTGAGCTGAGGTGAGTTTAACCGTGGCTATGGCCTTTAAGAGGGACCGAAATATGGAAGGGTCGAATAGACCTGAGGATGTCACCTGCTCAGGAGCTGGTTCCTCATCCTCTGACAAAATGTCCGCTGCCTCTAGGTCGGTTGATCCCCCCTCCCCTACTTGTGATGAAGTCTCTGAGACATCAGAGCAAGGCCCCATATCCTGCCCCTCCTGGGGCGGTGGAGCGGGTGTGGTAGGGGAGGAATGTGAATGTTCCTGGTCCCGGCCGGCAGATGCCATAAACTGTTTGAATGCATGATGCATAAAGGCTTGGAATTGACTCTGGGACCACATTTCCTCTTGATCTCTGGAGCTGGCCCCAACCCCAGTTGGGACACGTCTGCTCACTGGTGTTTGGTGGGATGAAGAAGAGGAGGAGGAGGAATGATGAGGACCAACCTGCTCAGTTTCCCCCTGAGGAGACAAAGATCGTGGAGCATCCTGTGATGATGCAAATTGAGGCTCTAGCGAAGGGGCGTCCAATGGGGCGGGGGAAACCAATTCAGCCCCAGTGGACCTCAGCCTCTGTGCCTTGGAGAATTCTCTTTCCAGTGCTAGGTGTCTCCTCGAGGCCTCTCGCTCGGCTGTTTTAGACACTTCCTTTGTAATTAAATGTTTGGTTTTAGCTTTTTTCTTTTCCCCCCCCACTGCTACTTCCTCTGATCTGCGTTTTGATTGCGCAAAGGGGACACTGGTCTGAGTTGCCTGGGGCGAGGAACTGTCTGCCATTGTGCTCTGGGTACTCCTAGGCAGTCGTACCCAGAGGTGGGGGAAAATTAACACGCAGATCACGCAGTCAGAGATGGAAAACCGATCCTCACTCTGAACAGCTAACAATGGCAAGAGCAGTCAGACAGCGTTCTAATACTGCCTGTACAGGCCTTGTGACTAAAGGTCACTGACTAATTGAAAAATGTGGTCAAACAGGAATCTCTTCACTCCTCTCTCTTAGATATGAAATCAGAATGTACACCTTGAGCGGCTCAATGCAGTCAAGTCCCAATCAGGAAAGTAGAAAAGAAGTTCACAGCACCTGCGGTGACTGTGAGACAAATACTTTCCCCCCCCCCGAACAGGCCTGCTCACAGACCAAGGCACTCAGGCAATACAATGATACAGTAGAAAAACAATTTGGCCTTCAAAATGGCGTAGCCAGGAGGCCCTCATAAATAACCCCTTGCTTTAATAAGGATAAAGAAACAAGGATTTTATTATTATTATTATTATTATTATTATTATTATTATTATTATTATTATTATTATTATTATTATTATTATTTAAATAAGGCCGCAAAATGGCTTCCGTCACGTGACCTTATGTACAATCCCCTGCTATGGATAAGGGAGTAAGCAGTTAGACTCGGCCTTCAAAATGGCGTCAGCCACGTGGCCCAGCAAAAGAGCGCCCTCGCTAAGACCATGCGGTCAAAATGGCGGCCGTGAGATTCAGCGTCGCCAAATAGGATCGAGGGAAGCTTGAAGACCCTTGATAAGAGTTTTGGGGCAAGGATAAGAGAGGGAAAGAAAAGCCTTAATTCTCTCCCCCTTTTCCCCAGAACTTGTGTTTGGGATCACAGCAGCCACTGCGATCCAAAGGGAGGCTGGAGGCAAGGAACGTTCCAAAAAGCCTGCTGTTGAAGGCGTAGCCGGTTCAGCGATCCGGAGACCGGGGAAAACGCTCTCTCTCGCGAAGAAATGAGCTCCGGAGTCCTCCTGTTGATCCGATCTCCGCAGCCCAGCTGAGCTTCGGGATCGCGGAGGCTTGCCGTTCGACTCTCCCTCGAACGGAGCTTGCAGCCTCCCACTTTCAAGCCCCGAGGGGCAGCAGGGAGACAAGGCAGAGTCCTTGTCTCACCGAATAGGAAAATTTTTTTGGAGATAGCCAATTAGTTGAAAAAAAAAATTTGAGAAATTCCAATCTTAAGTATATCCAATTGAAGGAAAAATAATAAATTTAATTTGGCCTAGCTAAGGAGCCTTGCAAGAAACCGTCTGCTGAGCTCTAGACTAAGACAAAAAACTGGGAAGACACACCCAGAGAGAGGTGTGGCAAAGTTTTTTTTGTCTTAGTCTGAGCAGGAAGGCTGAATTAACCCAATCTGTGGACTCTACACCCATCCTGCTGGAGAAACACATATTTCCGATGGTCTTAGGAACCGAGACACCGCTCCTCTATCCGTCTCTAGGCGAGGGGAGCAGGAGGTGGAGGAAAGCCTAAGCAGGGAGGGATCTGGCCCGGCGAGGGCGGAGCCGCATTTGGGCGCTGCTTCTGGAGCTTGCAGATGCTGGCCCGGCTCTGGCATGCTTCGGGTTAGAGGTTGTCTGCTGTGTTGCCGCCGGGAGCCTCAGCTGGCTAAAGCGCCTTTCAGAGAAAGAGCGAGGCCCCGGTCCAACGTGGCCCTGCTTTCCCCTGCAGGGCGACCCAGCCAGCAGCATCCTACTTTTGTCGTTTCAGGGAGGAGGGAGAGGAAGAAGAAGAAGAAGGCATCCGCCCGGTGGGCTGCTACCTCTGCCTCCTCGTGACGGAGAAGTGCTTTGAGGCAAATGGCAGGTTATAAAACTGACACTCGGCTCAAAGCGGGGATGGGTGGGCCTACGAAGCCACTGCTCCTCCGTGGGCGGACGGATAGCTGGATGGCTAGGAAAGTTTCCTGACTCTTCTGTGTGGAGGAAGAAAACCAAGCTTCGAGATCTCGTGAGCAGGCGCGCAGACGCGACTGAGCTTGCAAGAAGCCCGGCAAGCTTTACATTGAGGCAGGCGGTTTATAAAAGGAAGAAGCAGTCTCCTCATGCTCTGGAGTGGGGGAGGGATGGTGGTATGTCCGTTCGCTTCCCAGAAAAAGCTGCTCGGGACATCTCCATTGCTAAAAGATAATGCCCTTGCTTTCCTATGATGTCGAAGGTGTCCTACTTTAGGAAAAAACAAAACACAATCCCCACGCAAAAACAGGCCACCCGTGATAATGCAAAACCTAATGAAGAGCGTAG